CTTAGTTTTACTTGTATTCTTAATTGCAAAAGTATTATTCTATTATATATAAAAGAATAAAAATATTTTATCATGTTATATTTTTCTTTATCTTTTGTAGTATTTGCCTCTCCATTATAAATGCCCATCAATTTTTTTTATGTATAATTGCATATATGTAGGGTCCAATTTCACCAGTAGTTAAAGTTTAAGGAGTAATCATGAAGAAATATTAGTTTATGGTGTCTACTTGCAAAACACATAAAGTTTAAGGGGGTTTTGTGAACTTTTCTCATAGTTTTTTAGTGATTTGCATGTAAAAATCAGTCAGGAATACTAAGTTAAAGTAATGATTAATAATTTTCATACATTGTCACTGTATCATCCACTGTTTATGTTTCATCATCATTTACTCTTCAGAAAAAGTAAAAAAATCAATGATAAATATTGTGAATAATTGAGCATAAATTTTTATATTGAATCATTATATATTTAATATATAATTATGTTTGTATATTAAATATAATTATTTAATATAGAAAATAATAATAATTAATATGGAATTTATTAATAACTAATACAAATTAGGGGTGAGTAGGACCCGACCTTACCTGCTCACCCGATATGGGTCGATCATGATCGGGCCTGAAAAGGGTCGGTCTCATCGGGTCTATGGCCGAGTTCAGGTTCAAAAATTAGACCTAATCAATATTTAGGGTCGAGTAGGGATCAAACATGACTCGTCCCGACCCGTCCCATGGTCATTCTCACATGATGTTTGTATGTGTCTCTGTTCAAATATATACTGAGTAATTATACTTTTTTGGTCGAAAATATCATTGATTCTCTTATTTTTCATCATATATACATGTTTAATAATATATATAAACATATATTATTTTATATGTAAAATTATATATTCACAATAATAAATAATATTTAGAAGATTTTATGTAAAATGAGTATACGTTATGTTTAATCGGGTCGAGGGTCGGGTCCAGGTTTAAAGACTGGCCCTGTGAATATTTGGGGGTCGGGTCAACTCCGGGTCTAGGGTCGGATCCGAGTTCAGAAAAAATGGTTCGAACAACATTTAGGGCCAGGTAAAGACAAGCTTTAACCCGTCCCAACCTGAAGGTCGGGTCCGGGTATAAAGGCTGACCCTGTGAATATTTAGTGTCGGGTTCAGAAAAAATGACTCGAACAATATTTAGGGCCGGGTAAGAACAAGCTTTAACCCATCCCAACCCGGCCTATGCTCACCCCTAAATTACAAATGACATATATATTACACTTACTGAATCGTATGGTGTATTTACTAATCATATCATTGCTTTAGTTTTCAATTATTGTGTATGGTGGGATATTCAAATTCCGCAAGTAAAGCATATAGCTAGTAAGTAATATGTTTTTATCATTCATTAATTGTAGTCTTAATGATAAAAACAACAAAAACAGATATGGTCAAAGTTGTTATTATATGTGAATGGAGAAAAAAATAAAAAATATTGTATAAAAATGTAAAATTATAACATTTAGACAATGAATATATGAATTGGAAAAATAGATAGAAGTCTGATTTGGTAGGTTAGATAACTTGTATTCCTTAACTTTGATGGATGGCAAGGCCTAGAAAAAAATGTAGAGTACTTATCCCATATAGTTATATAAAAAACATTTAAGAATATCCAACACATGCACAAGAAAACGTGTGGATTCTCAGCTTTGTCAAAATTGTGTTACAGCAACGTATGTTATAACTCAAGTCGGTGCTGTCACAATTTTATATTTGGGATATAGAGTTTGGAAACTTAGGGGATTTTGTTTGACCCTTAGAAACTCTTGACTTGCTTAATTATAGCTTCACTCTGCAAAATTTGTTTAGGTATAGTAGGGTTGAGAGTAGGCCGGGTTGAGATGGATTAAGGCTTGTCTTTGTCCGACCCTAAATGTTAGTCGGACCATTTTTCTGAACTCGTACCGAGCCCTAGACCTGTAAGGTACAACATTTGAACCATGTACCTAATTGATCTCAGTATTAGGCATAGTTTTGAAAACCGTGCCGTACCGGCCGGTTCAACCGGAAAACCGGTGAACCGGACCCCTAACCGGTACGGTACGTATGTTATACCGCATATGCAATAGAACCGGTCAAAACCGATTGAAAACCGGTTGAAAACCGGTCAAAACCAGTGAAAACCGGTAAACCGGTTTAAACCGGTTGGTTTGTACATTATTATTATTTTTTTTTTAAATTTCAAATTTTCAATTCTTCACCAATTCTTCAACTTCAATGATTGATACTTGGGTCATTTATTTGTATTTTGCGTTTGTTAAGTGATAATTTTGGATAAATATATGTTTTGTACTTTAGACTTTGATTTTATTAAAGACTTAATGTTGTTTGTTTGTGTGAATTTGAAGTAAATTATGAATATGGATTATAAATATGAATATCTACTTATTTGAAATTTTTTGTTATAGGTTTACATATATATATATAAGCAAGTATGTCCGATTTAACCGGCATGCGGTTTAATTACTGAACCACTGGTTGGACCACTGTACCAGTACCCTAACCAGTTTGATAACCGGTACGGTTTTAATAACATTGGTATTAGGAGTCCAAATTTAAATTGGGACTTAACTTTTATGATGACAATATAATAATTATATATAATTGTTACAGTACTGCTTTATTTTTATTTTTATGAAAATATTAATCCATTTTTATATTACTGAGCTCTAACAAGTTATAATAGGAGGAAAAAATATTCAATCATCGTTAACTTTTAGAAAAAATAATATAAATAAATGATAGATGATACACTAACCATATAAATCTTTACCTTATCAATGATAAATATTATATTCTTATGAAAAACGGATTCCTCTTTCATGCAAATATCATGGCCATATACCAGAAGAAAAAGTAAAATATATTATTAAATCAATAAAAAGTATAGTATATATAAATTATTTAATTAAAAAACAAACAGGTATTGATATCATAATAGTTATCTTCATCGTTATATCATCCTACTAATCTTATTACCCACAAAAAACAACATATGCCACATAGTGATAATTTATCACCCACAAAAAACAACATATGCCACATAGTGATAATTTATTTATTAGTAATTAGTTTATAAGTAACATTAACTAGAATTTAGTAGAAAGATTTATCACGATCTGAGGTATATGTTGGGTTTTAAGATCAAGGAGACTTACACTTTAATCTTAAACAATCTTCAAACTCAAATTTCAAATTAATATTTTGAAATGGGTGGGTCAGAATAACTCTTACAAATTCAGAATGTTGTTTATTTATGATCGAATGAACCATTGTATTGCATTTCACAACAGCAATAATAATATACGTATATAAACATAGCAATAAATAAAGATATCAAAAGCAACAAATTGATGAAACATGTATACGTTAGGAACAAACAATTTAAAACAAAATTTGGTTGATAATTGACATCAAAATGATAAAATTTGACCATAACTAAATACAGTCTCAAGGAAAAGCAAAAGCCATATAAAATTTGGGAATCAGTAAATTTAGGCAGCACCCTTGCCCTTCTTCTTCTGGAGTTTCTTCACGTAAAATTCTAGCTCCTTACCTTCCAAAATGTACCTGACAAATTCATGAAAAACAGATAGGTAAATAATATACATGAAACTGGCACAAATAGACCTCGGCACATAAATAAAAGTTCACATACCCATCAGCCCTGCCGCATTGACCTGGGCGAGAAGAAATAGAAGCAAGCAATCGGCCGCCACCAAACTGCTCTTCAATGTGCGGGTCAAGCTGACGATCCTTCTGGCGATTCTCAATTTTTCTCTGGACATGGTTGCTTTTTTTAGCTTCTTCAGCTACAGCTTCACCTTCCTGCAAGTTTGTCATCAAAACCTCAATAAATACACCAGATTTGAAGAGTCGACTACTACACAGGAGATTGAAGCTTACTCATTCACACACAAAAATGACATAATCCATGAATGGATAAAATATTTAGTTTATTGGTAGTGAAAATATTTTCATGTTCTTAAATTTATAAACTTGGAACCATGTAGAAAGATATGATGTCATGATGGATTTAATACAACATATGTAAACAACAAATGAAAAACTTTTATGAACATACACAGTTTAAGAAAACATGTCCAATGTTTTTACATATTCAAACTAAGAACCAATTAGAAAGATATGATGTCATGATGGATTTAATACAGATTATGTAAACAACAAATGAAAAACTTTTATAAACATGCTGTTTAAGATAACATGTCCAATGTATTCAACAAAAACAAAAACGCCTAATGATTGCTTCCAAATCAATATCTTATGCCCAAATTCCTTCAAGTACAAGAAGTGGCAAGTAAAAGTAGTTATTATTCAAGAATTAAATTAAACAAGAAATATAAATCAGGTAAAAGACAACATTGAAAATTTCTAAAGACATCACCTCTGCAGTGTCCTTCTTGGATGCTGTTTTCTTTTTCCTGCCAACTTCAACACCATAGTGCTGAAGGTACCATTGCTTGAATGGAGCAGCATCAACCTGAACAATTGCACCCTTGACCAGGGTCTGAGTTCGCACAAGCTCATTGTTGGAGGCATTGTAAACAACATCAAGAAGACGAGTCTTGCGGGCCACGGCTTCACTTCCCCATGAGAAGTTTCCAGTGTCCAATCTTAAAGCCCTCCATTTGACATTTCCACCCCGAACACGGATCCTCCTAACTGTCTTGTTGCTTGATAACTTGGTGTTTGCAGGCTGACGACCAAGCTCATACCTTATATTAATCAGGAAAATAAACATATTAGCTTAATAATAAATTAGAAACATTATCACTAAAGAAACAAACCAAAAGAAGTAACTAAATTACCCATAATAAATGAGCAATTATTAAAACTAAGATATCTGAAAATATACAACAATGGAAAATGGTTGACCACATTGAATAGTAAAAGAGTAAAAACTCACAAGGTAAATATTACTATTCAGCTTAGGATCTTATTTGCAGAGATTGAATAGAATTCAATATTCACCCTCTATTACTCTCAGTTTAAATTCCAATTTCATCTATGTGAATTTTGAAAAGAAAACCAGCTGTCATAGCAGGAAAAGGCATATACAAATTGTGCCACAAAACAACAACGGTAATAGAAAAATAAAATTTTCCATGCTCTTTCGTATAGCATCATATGGGACGAAAGGGCAGCTAGCACACTAGGCTCCCACTTAATAAGGTCTAGGGAGTGTAATAGATGTACACAGCACTACTCTTGCATGTGAATATGCAGTTTACAAGATAAACAAAAAATACAACTATAAACAGAATGAAAAAATCAGCTTCAGTCTCAAAACAAGTCTTATTTTTGTACAATACTTAGTGGATTAATAATGCACTAACCCTTTTGTAACTCCCATTTACCTTGTTAAATCAATAAGATACCACAGATTGCATTCTATCAAAAATCACATAGGATACTTAACAGCCACACTCATTTTCAAAATGCTATTATTTCCATTCATATTTCAAATACTAAACAAGCTAAACAAATAATAATAAAAAAACACAGTAAATAAACACAAACATGTTATTCATCAAAAAAATCAAAACCAAAATTGTCAAACAAAATAAACTAAAATATACATAAAATCCAAAATAATAAAAAAAGATGTATTACTTTCTCTTCTTTCTCCATGCCTTCTTTTTGCCACCAGTGGCACGCCTCTTATGCATGGAATCCCTAGAAATACCTATCAAACAAAAAAACAATAAATAATTAAATAAACACAGTGATTGTTACAGATCGAAGAATAACGATGATGATGAAGAAGAAACATACCCATATTGGCGGCGCGTATAACACACTCGCCCTGTTCTCTCTAGATTTCTCTGTGTGACTGTGAGTTATTCACTGATAAAACCCTAATCTGTGATTTATATATGAAATGAAACTTAGTTGTTCGAAGACCCGGCCTCGTTATCATTATGGGCCACAAAATTGGACTCGCTAATCGGGGGCTTTCTTTGAAAACCCATCACACCTTACCAATTAAGTTTTTTAAACTTATTTCACATTTTAGTCATCAATTCTAGGGAAATCCAATGGTTTAAATAGTGAGTAATCTAAACAATTAAATTTCTTTAGATTTGATAGCTAGGATGTGTAGTAAGTTTAAAAAACTCACTCTATGAGTAAATGGATGGATCTCTCCTCTTTTTTGTTTAGCACATTGGTTTTTAAAAATTAATTATCTATATTATTTGTATATAAATTGTTTGGGCCCGTCACTCTAAAATTTGACGTATGTTATTTGCGGGGTTATTTTTGTAAATTATAAAATGGGACATGTGTTATTAGCTATAATTACCATATATATAAATTGTTTTGGCTGTTAAAATAAAAATAGACACTCTAAAATTTCTACATGTATTATTTACGGGGTCTTTTTGTAAATTTATAATGGGGCATGTGTTACTAGCTATAATTAATCTACTATCTTCATATTAGCTATAATTATATATATATAAATTGTTTTAGTCGGTGAAATAACAAAAATAGACACTCTAAAAATTTGACGTGTATTAGTTACATATTATACGTTAACATTTTGTCTATCTTACTCACAATTTCTCCTTTCATGATAAATCTTTCTTTCCTCAAATAATATTTTACCTATCATTCAATCTATATTATTTTTTATTTTATGCTTTTCTAGGGAGATAAATTTTCTCGTAAGAGCCTTAAATTGCATGTCCAAAATCATTAGTGGCCTTGTATCCACACAACTCATTTTTAAGTAACCAAGTCTCTCTTTTATTGTTCAACCAAGTTAGGACCATTTACTCAAGTCTATTTGAACTTATATTAGGACCATAAGAAATATGAATTAAGAGAGGGAAATATCACAAAGTTTGGCTTATGGAAAGTTGCATACTTTTATTATTAAGGCACAACTGCATGTTATACATATTCAAGAAGCAACTACTAGATATATAGAAGATGGTGTGCTGGTAATAGAAAACTACATTCACCATTTTTATAAGGTAATAAAAGCAACCACATTCATGTTCATGATTTGAACACTACACATGAAGGTGATGTGATAGCATAGTGTTATTAATATCAAGTTCTGCATGAGGCACAAGTGCAGCCTGTGGCACATGTGCAACCAGTTCCAGCAGCAGTAGTCTTGGGACAAGAGCAAGGGTTACATTCACAATGCTCTCCACATGAGCATGTACAGTGATCAATCCCACCTGTGGTGGCTTCACCACTTGTGCACCTGTCAATCGGAAGATAATGTTAGAAAGTAAGTCTATTTTTTGGGCTACTCTACTCATTCCAGTGATAATAATAACATAGTATTAGAGCTTGAGCTCGATTTCTTTCCAATTGTTATGCACCAAATAGACTAAAAACATATTTAAACCTTATCATTATTATTGGTTCATTAGGTTTTTTGATATCATACATAGGTTGAAGTAGAATATGAAATGAAGATAAGAAAGATGCAAATGACACAAATTAAAGTATAACCCTTCTAACAAAAAAAACAAAATATAAACTAAAACCTATCAACCTTTAACATATTTAAAGCTTATCATTATTATTTTTCATTAATATAATAATGAAAAATAATAATGGACAATGAGAGGAGTAGCACAACAGATATTTAAACCATTTCTGGGACAATAACGTAAACAACGTAAGACTTAGTTCCCAACATACTATTTTCACATGAATCATAACTAAAATCATCTTTTGACTCATGACAACCATAAATAAGTTGGACGCTGACTCTAATACCATGTTAAAGTTCAATCTCAAAATCAATTAACAATGAGAGAAGTAGTATAACATATATTTAAACCATTGTGAGACAATAAAGTAAGTAACATGAGACTTAATTCTCAATAACAAAGATGAATTGAAGATAAGAAATAAACCTGCAATTAGAATCACCAGAACATGGAACTGTGCAACCACACTTATTGTCACAAACAACCACCCTTCTTTTTACTTCTACTCTTCCTCTATCTGCCATCACTCTCAATCAGAATCTACTATATGTGTTTTGAGAGGGTTCTATATACTTTGCCTTTTATATATGTCTTGAGTCTTATGATTTAAAGGAGTACACAAATGCCAAATGTCATGTTCATGTTTTACGTGGCAATAGCTACACATGCAATTCTTCAGCTGGAAACACGTAATATATATCCTTTGACCCTATTTCAAACGTGTCCTTCAAAGCTTCTTCAATTCCCTCTATGCCAACACGTTCAACCATTTTTTTTTTGGGGTCGACTCCAAGAACCTCGGGTTAATAAGTTCCTGCGAGGATAGATATGTTAGAAAGATGGACATCATATATTTATACAATTATATGGGCTATTAATTTTCAGGGTTATAAAATAAGTGATCATTGACAACCCTTTTGACTTTTAATATGAAGTGATAATGAATATGAGCTTAATAAGTTGATACCAGAGTAGTTAACTCATGGAATAATGGGAACCCTGTTAAGTTAACACATCAGTAATGTTATGGTCCCTAATACACCAAATCAGACATAGTTTTCATCTCTTCCCATCAGAGAGAAAATGAAGGTGCCAGGAGGAATTAGGGATTTGGTTGAAGAAGACCATCATACCAAAACCTCTCTAAGAATGCATACAAAGGAACAAATATGAGAACATGGATTCAGGTATGACATTGATTGACTTCTTTCATTGTTTTACATATTGTGTGAGAATCATAAGATTCAAGATTCTATGATTGATATTTCACCAATTAATAGAGAATTCTAACAAGTGATATCAGAGTCAGATTCTGAATTTTACGATTCTCCATTAAAAGTATTTTTCCCCAATTTTTATGAACCCTAATTTTAAATTTGAGAAATTTCATGCTTCCTCTATGGTTATGAAAATTGGGTATTTATGAATAATGAGGATAACTCTTATATATGCTTCCACTTATTTGAATCATGGGTGATTTATATTATGAATCCTTGTAATGTGTGTTGAAGTTATATTCAGATCTCTGCATGGAGATTGCATTAACTTTTATGATTTTGTTATGCAATATGTATATTATATGTGCATTAACACCTTACCGTTGGACATTGACTTTTGTCACTTCACAATTTTTGCAATTTGCTAAAGTATATTTTAAGGTATATATGGGTTAAGACATGTTTTTTCTTTTATACATATACAATATGGAATTCATGGCCTTGTATACATATTGCGAATTGAAATGTACCTATATATATATACATATATAATTGTTTTCAGCTTGAGGTTGCTGTGATGTCTGGAATTACTGATTAAAATTAATATATATATAATGCTTACAATTAATGCATACAATTACTAAGTTAGTGTGTGAAAGTGTATATATATAGTGTTACATATATGTTTTAAGATATGGATGATCATATTAGATTTAGAATTTTCCATAATGATTTGCATCTATTTTTTTATGCTTTTCACTCCATATCTATTTTACATTTGATTAAGATTGCATCCATTTTTATGCATTGATATATATGTAATATATTTTATTTGGAAATATATTATGATATTAGATTTGTTAATCATTAAAGAGATCAAATCTTAAAGTTTTAATTCCAAATTGTACCCTTATAATGGACCCATAGTGTTTTGTTTTGTCTGGTAATTATTTGGAATCAGTTGATGTAATATGTTGCCAAAGTAACATCTGTTGTGGAAATTGATTAAATTACACAGATGAGTATGAGATTATTTATGCGAATTGTGTTCGGCCCAAATGAAGACACAATTTGGCCAAATAATAACATATATGTGATGATAAATGTGTAACAATTATAAAGATTTTTTCAGGTGAATAATAGTCGGTCCAAAGAAAGACTATTATTTGAAAGAACTAAAATTGTTAATATTTGATCATTGCACTGAGAGTATCACTTACAAATTAATTTCTCTGTCCAAAGACTAGAAATTGATGTTGTGTTAGGTATCTTTTGATATGTCTATTATGTGAATGTCTTATTTTTATATATTACATGATTGTCTTTTTTTTATTATAAGATTGTTTGACTTTTTTTAGTGAACCTGTAGAAATAAGACGTCACCAAAGTGACATATTTTGTGTAAATTGTTCATAATAAATGCCAAATTCTAGTGCGTATATATATTCATGCGAGTATTAATCGGCCCAAAGGAAGATTATTATTTGGCCAGATTATATACACACATATGATGGTAAACGTGTGATAATTATAAGGTTGCAAATGTGAATAATACATTAGTCCAAAGAATGATTTATTATTTAACATGCATTAGGATCAATGTTTGACCATTACAACAAGAATTTCATTATCAATGAATATGGAATATCAAGCTAATTGTATGTTTGCATTTTTATGCGAATAGTGATCTGCCCAAAGGAAGACTGCTATTTGGCCAAAATTATAAACATACATGTGGTAATAAATATGTGATAATCATATAGCTTCTCATGTGAATAATAAGTCGGTCCAAAGAAAAGTTTATTGTTTTACATGACTGATTATCAATATTTGATCACTACATTGAGTGTATCACTTACAAGTTAATATTTTTTGTCCAAAGACTCAATATTAATGTTATACTAGGTAACTCGTGATGTGTCCCAATGAATTTTAAGGGTTGAATATGATGTGAGTTTATTGCAAGAATAATTGCAATTTATTTTGTTCTTTGTTCTACTTGATTAAGTGTCTTTTATCAGTGCTGCAAATATTTCTGCTCAAATTAACAATATCTCATTACTGAATGAGATAAATTTTAAGGTCTGGAAGGAAGCCGTAGATATTATTCTCGTCTGTATGGATTTAGATCTGGCATTTCATTTAGAGAAACCTATTTCTACTCCGGAAAACCTTGATGAGGTTAAAATTGAGAAATGTGAACACTCTAATCGAATGTGTCTAATGATCATGAAACGCTCTGTTCCAGAAGCGTTTCGGGGCTCTATTTCTAAGGGTCAAAATGCAAGCAAATTCCTTGAATAAATAGAATAGTACTTTGCTAAAAAAAAATGAAAAGGCGGAGACGAA